TTTCCAAGCGAGTACCACTAATATATATATATATATATATATATATATCCTACTGAGCCAGGTACTACCTATCTTTTTTCACTACATGGGATCATCAGGGTGAACTGGATAAGGAGGAATTAACTAGGAACAAATTTATTGATAAAATCACGGGTAAATCCTAAAATTAGAATAAGCTTAAAAAGATATAAAGCACATGACAAAAGAAAACAAAAAAAACAAACCTTTATTCTAATAACCAAGCTTTCTGGTGCTTTTTTTTCTTCCATTTTTCCTCAGATGCCAATTTATTTGAAAATTATGCTATCCAGGTTTTTCACCCACCAAGTTTAAATAGATTTACCTTATATATATATATATATATATATATATATAACTATAGGTGTCATAACATAATTTACCTATTAGAATGCACACTATGCCAGAAACAATATGTGGGAAAATCTGAATGGCCCTTTCACTACAGAATTAATAATTAATGTAATTGGATCAAGTCAGCTCTCCACAAAAGATTATTACCTGTAGAACAACATTTCTGCCTAGAAAAACATTATTTTAAAAGCCATGCCAAATTCACTATAATTGAAAAAAAAAAAATAGGCAGAAAAGATAACACTAGAAAAATTCTAGAGGAACATGAAGACAAATGGATTTTGCACCTCAAAACACTTTGTCTAGATGGGCTTAACCACAAATTTAACAACATAGATAGAATTAATATATAATCCCTTAAATCAAGCCTTATCCACATTTCTCACCTACTCAAGACAGACATGTTAAGGTATCACACTTATACACACACCCATACACTTACACACATCATACACATTCCCAAAGAACTAAAAGATAACATATACTTAACACACATTCCATTCCTAGTAACCAATAAAACTGTCAAAATGACCAAGGAGGGAATTCTGAGATTCATGAATCTCCCCAGCCTCTATCTTAAAAAACAACTTAAAAGAGGCCATTTGACCAACACAAGGACTGACCAAAATTAATGTTAAAAAACAAATGAAAACTACAGATAAAGTTAATTTTCTTCAGAAAGTCATTCGTTCTTGTAGTTCACTGCTACCAACAAGCAGGATGCTTTTTCTCCTGATGATGGCCATGCTGGCCGAAACTAGTCATCGAACCTAATTGAAATAATAAAACAAAAAAATATTAATATACAACCCAGTGTGTGTGAAAATTTTAATTAAAAAAATTTTTTAAAAAACAAAACATTACAAACATACACTTGGGGGAGAAGATATATGATATATATATATATATATATATATATATATATATATATATATATATATATATATATATATATTTAAAATATTTTGATTCAAACATGTTTCATTTATAAACATATTATGAAAATTTATTTTATATTTTTTTAGTTCTGGAACTAATTGTTTTAAGATGAAATTAATTTGTTGATTCAAGTTACCACAAAGGAATTTTTTTTGCGCGTAAGTGAATATTTAATCTCCTCGAGATCATCTTCATGGTTCAAAATTATAAAAGACAGGACAACCCGGATTGTTAACTGTGATAGTATTGTGATGGTGTTTTTTCATGTGACTGAGTATATATATATATAAAATATTTAAATTTATCTGTTGTAGCTATGGAATTTTGAGAAAAACAAGCTTTTAAAGCCATTTTGCATTTCTACCAATTTCTGGTGATATTAAGTTATATAAGGAATAAATTCACAACAAAAATAAATTTAGGTTCAACATTAAATTAAAAAATAAAAAAATTAAATAACACTACGTTCATATTTGTTTTTTAAAAATCACCATCATAACAATTACAATTTTTGACAAATTTTATAATTATATATTATATATATATGATATATATATATTAAGAAGAAGAGAGAAAGTACTTTTTTTTTAGGAAAAAATTTTAAAAAATATATGTTTTGTTTAATTTTCCTTAATTTTGAAAACTGATTAGAAAAGCTAGAAAAGATGATGAAATAACAAAATGGATATAGACATAATATAAATATATTTTTAATGATAATAGTCATTACGATGATTGATTTAAATCAGCCCATTATGAGTGAATCTCTGTTTAACATTTTTTGCCTTACATACAGTTTTGTCTTTCATTCCAACCTAAAGAACCAAGAAAGCACATTTTCATGTCTCATTTTTACTTTTGTTTTGGATGTCGTTTTTCGACCGATCCTAAAAAAATCAGACAAATTTTCCAACACAATTAATGGCATCATATTTATATGAATATATATATTAAAAATGTGTGTGAATGTGTGTGTGTGTAATATATACAAATAAATATATTTATATGTATATATATATATATATATATATAAATATAATAAATTTAAGAATATATATATATATATATATATATATAAAAATTATAACATAAATGTTATAAAATTTTATCTATTATAATTTTTTAATAAAAATAATTGAATCTGCTTTCAGCTTTTGTATTTAGCATTTTTCTTTTAAGAATAGTAATTGTAGGTTTATTGGAATTCCATTGTATATACCAATTATATATTTATATATATATATATATATATATATATATATATATATATATATATATATATATAGAAGATTATCCAATATATATATAAAATTTGTAGATTATTAGCTAAAATAAATATCAGTATCAGATAGAAAAAAAATTTGGTTGGATTGAATTTAAAACACACCAATCACATTTTTTTGATATACCACCAAAATAATTACATTTATTGTTATTATCATTGCGGTTAAATTAAAAAGTTTTGTAAAATTTACCAATTTACAATAATATTAACTTATATTATCATTGTCCCCAATCTCTTACAACATTACTATCATCACATCTACTATTATCATATAGATTATATATATAATTATTAAAAATAATCTGTAAATCAAACATATTAAATATATAAAAATAACCAATAAGGTTTACAAAAATGAAATTTCTAGAAAGTTACATCTACAGTCAATAAAAATAAGCAAATAACCAGCTTTAAAATAATATAAAAATGTTATAATTTTTTTATAAAAAATAAAATAATATATAAATTTTTACCTATCATAATTTTATACAAACCCACCACATGTATATACATACATGCATAAAATATTATTCAGTGAAAAAAAAAAAATGTGATGAAAATTGCTGACAAATATACATTCACGAGACATTTTTTCACCCTTCCAATCTTTTGAATTTCAACATATAAATGCGTATGTATAGACACAACACCACCCATATACATACATATGTCAAATCCGAAACTGTCCACATATGTTTATATATGTATGAGTCCTGATGGATGAGCAAGTGTGTATGTGTCTGCATACCTCTGTTAGGGTGTTGGACATGCATCGATGTTTGCATTAGTACGATGATGACAAAACGACGATGATTCCCCCCGACTCCAAAATAACACCAATACACGCAATCTACATAAACCCAAAAATTTAAAAAAATTAATCAGTTTGTCTGACGATTGCAAAGCGTGAAACCCAGGGTCACAAACTCACATCAATCCAACCAAATATATAATTATTTGGAAAAAATTATAACATCAATAATGTTAAAATATATGTTTAAAAATAGCCATTTATTTCAACAAATGTGAAACAAATTGATAAGAATAGATTTTTATGAAACATATTTATGTTATAATTTTTTAAATAAATAATATACACGGAATACATGTATCAAGCACTCTTTTAAGAATAGTAATTGTTGGTTATTAAATTCATCCGTATATACCAATTATGAAACACAGATTCTGTATACCAATATATATATATATATATATATATATATATATATATATATATATATATATTTCACATTCAAAAAACAATACACTATGATGTGATTTAGGTTTGGGCGCAAAGGATATTTCAACAAATTCGATACATGTGATTCTTTTTTGGAGACATAGCAGAATTTAAAATGATCTAACAATACGAGCACTTTTGAATAATCTATTAGATATTATCAAGGATGTGTTTTTTTTTTAAATTTTTTTACAGAATATATATATATTTTTTATATGTACATATAGGGATAAGAATGTTTTTAATTTATGAATATGGTCAGAATATTCTGGCCCTGTTCAGAATTGATATTATTGAGTTGGCTTCTTCCTTTTAATTATTAATGCTTCTATACTTTTTTGCATGTAAATGAGTCTATTAGTTGAAAGTGTTCAGATCTAAGAATTGTGAGTTCAATACCCGAAAAATATTAGAGGTGAATGAAAAAAAAAAAATTTATATAGTTGATATCTATATATATGTAATTAACTGTAAACTAAGATATCCAGAAAAGGCATACATGGAACTAGATATATAAGTATACATATCCCCAATGGACTAAATAAATTTATTTATAAATTCCAACTTATATATTTATGAATATGGCCAGAGTATACAATGGTTGCAACATCATGAATATGACAATAAAATGAGGACAACTGTCCAAACAATGTTAAATAGTTACATATATTAGTGAATATATATTTTATATATATATATATATATATATATATATATATATATATATATATATAAATATATATTGAAACAATAAAAAAACAAAACAAAAATAATATGCAATTATGCTATTTTATGTTAATATAATGTCATAACTGAATGTTTATAAGAAGTAGACCATCTTCAGGACATATTCATGAAAAACATAAAATCTGACGTTGACATTATATTAACATTAAAACAGCATAATTGCATATTAGGATTTTTTGTTGTTTTTTTCCGTATATTTTTCTTCATACTGTCGGATCTATATCCATATATTTGCTTACATATCTATATATATATATATATATATATATATATATATATATATATATATAGATATATATATATAATGTTTGTCATAACAGGGTTGACAAAAAAATTTTTATTTATAAATTTTTTTAATTGAATTAAGAATAAAATATAAAATTTAATCTAAATTAATTGTTTTTTTTTCTTTTATAGATATCTTCAAAGTCCAAGTAGAAAACAAACCTTTGGATGTTTCCCAAAAAAATGTCTCAAAAAAATTGAATAATTCTAATGACACGGACAATAAAAGTGGGGGATGTGCTTGTTAAACTTCAACATGACAGCAATGAAGGAAAAAAAAAAAAAGACAAAACCCAACAACAACAACAAATGCTGAAGATACAGCTGATGCTACAATTGTTTGAGAAAGGATTTTGCCACCTTTTCTTTTTGACATTTTTTTTTTTTTTCCTGCTTTTTTTTTTTTTTTTTAAACCTAATAGTTCCACAATCAATGTTCAAAGATATGAAATCTTTATCATGAATCCAAATACCTCTAAGCTAATTTGATTTAATGTAAAATTATTTTAAAATTACCTAATATCTAAAACCTTAAATTTTTATTTTGACTAATGTCAAAGATCTAAAGACCAATTACTTTTCTCTTTTTTTTTTTTTTTCCTCTTCATCTATGTGAAATAATACCTAATCTCTTACACAATTATTGGCTCAAAAATATCTAAAATTTTATAATTGTATATGTGTAAGATGGATATTGAGTACAGTCTTCTTATGCAAGATATACATTTGGAGAGGAACTCTTTGGGTTTTGGCTCTTATTAAGAAATGCTGTTCTCTATTCTGTTACATATCTAACTATTTATCTGTCTGTTCATACATATCCTTGTTCATATCTATGTACAGTACAAATAATGACTATCATCGTAATTTAATAAGGCATCAAGTGAGATTATACTAATTATATCTATTTTTCTTGAATGTTTCATTAATACTTTAAAAAAATGTAGTAATTCCTGTTTTATTACTACACACCCACACAGAGATAAAATTGTTGCTATAACATTATTTTTGAGTTTTTTTACTTGTCGATTGATTTAAGTTCAGCAGTAAAAGAATACATTTTTACTTAGCTAATTCTCTTCATATGCATCTTGAACATTTTTTTTCCTATTTGCTTACTCTTAAGTCCAGCATAATAGAGTAGGTTTGAATAAAAGTATATTATGGAAAATTCAATCAAAACTAATTTGTTTTCCGAACAAAAAAAAAAAAAAATGAAAGGATAGGATGTTTTGAATAAACAAACAGGTTGAGGAAAAAATGTAAAACAAAATAACGAAGGAGTCTGGAATAATTTTGGGTAGTTTGTGGGGGTTAAATATTTCAAACAGACTCATCTATTCTGGACATAAGACTACATATATCTTTTAGACATTTTGCAAACAATTACACATATCTACATGTAGAAATGTAGTAAGTATTTATACTGTAGACATGACAGGTTTATTTTTGTTTAGAGCCCAGAATGTAATTAATACAAAAATCATAAATTCTTACTTACATGTTTTAAAATTTTTACATACAACAGCTAAAATAGTTAAAGATTTTTATTAACAAAAAGAACATAATACACTGTTGAGACACAATATAAATTTTGTGTGTGTGTGTGTGTGTGTATATATATATATATATATATATATATATATATATATATATATATATATAAAAAACACACACAGATGCTTATAAATATTAGCTAGCATAAAAGGTTAGTATTGTGCACAAATTACTACTTAGTTTTTTATTGGTAAAAATATCTATGATGCAAGTAAAGAAATTTTTTTATTTAGGGGATTTTTGATTTTTTTCCTTCATTTATAAAGAATAAACATTTTTCTGTTAAGAAAATAAGATCACTGATTTTTCCTTTTGACTGAAAACACTAATTTTGTATTTTACTAGAATATATAAACTGTATATATTTCAAAACTCATTTAGACATTTTAAACAAATTTTTACTTATTTGTAAGTTACTTCTAAATATTTGATAACAGAGTTTGTTTTTTATGCAAGTGGGAATACTAGCATTTTCACTTGTTATACAAAAACTTATTCATAGTTTCACTTTCAAGAATAAACAATTTATAAGCTTTACTTAATAATGGTCTTATGTGAAAGAGAAGCACTAAAAAGGAAAGGAAATAAAATTGTATACTGAAATTGCTGCAAAAACCTTGTATTAAAGTATATTGTTATAATTGTTCTATTTTATTAATAATAATTGTTATTAATCTCTCACTGGAGCTAATTTATAAAATTAACCTTTAGATAGTTATCTATGTAAAGGAAAAATGTTTACCGGATGCTTTATCTAAAATCACACATATTATATATATATATATATATATATATATATATATATATATATATATATAGAGAGAGAGAGAGAGAGATACAAGATGGAGCATAATTATCTGTAGAATAAGTTAATTTTAAAAAAGGACTCAATACAGAGTAGAGCTTATCCATAAGCGACTAAGGGGAGGGGTGGGAAGATTAATGTATAGACAATTGTAACATAGATTTTATAGTTGAAAATTAAAAGGCTTCTTTAAGAAATCAGTGAATACAATTAAACCATTTAAAATTAAAAAAAATGTGGAACATCCATATTAAGGTATTAATAATACTGACTAGACAGCAATACATAGCTATATTAAATCTAAATAAGCAAAATAAAATAATCATTCATAGAAGGTGCACTGCAATTTACTTACTAATTATGACCATATGAAATAGTACTACCAGATTCAAAGTTTATCTATATATTAGGTGAAAGATAATTTATGCCTATATAATTCTGATTTAATTCAAATTTTTTGGTTTATTAGAGAATTTTAATCAGCAAATCTAATTTTTTTTCAATTTTTGTTAAAGCTTAAGACTCAAAGGTTCATTTAAATTTAAATGTTCTAGCTTTTTTTTAAAAATTTCCATTTTACTGTAAGAGTTTTATTAACCTCTTTTAAATTCCAAAGAATATTTGGAAAGAGATATTCTATTTTTATAAGTGCTTATTGGTGAAAGATAGGATATGTAGGTACCATCTAGTTTTAAAAGAATTCTTAGTACTCACTATATAAAATTTTTCAATTGTCGGATTTCCAATTGTAGAAATAGTGCTTAGGTAAACAAGAGAGTTGGTCAGACATTTGTTTTGCATTGGGTAATTGCTAGAATTTCTGCAATTACATTTGTTAGTATTATCAACATTAGTTAACTAGGGTGTATTTTGCTTTTGAAATTAAAAATAATCATTTACTCACCAGTTATTTACCATCGCCTGAAAAACAACCAATGCTGAAACATGAAAGAATATTGTGTGGTATCATGAAAAAAAAATTTTAAAAAATAATATATATATATATATATATATATATATATATATATATATATAATATAATTATTTTTCCTTCCTTTATTTTTTTATTTATTTTTAATAGAACCTATCAATCAAGTGCTTGCTAATTTGAAATGATTTTTTAACCAATTATTATTTTAAATTGTTTTAGGTTTACAGCCATATCATGTTAAAACAACAGTTTGCATATGATTGCTGAAGTTAAGCAACATTGAGCCTTGTCAGTACCTAGATGGATAACCGTTTGGAAATACCAGGTGCTGTAAGCTTGGATGTGCTGGTGGTGTCATGGATAAAAACTCAGAATTGTTAATCAGAGAGCTGAGTTCCAATTTCAGTTGGGTTCGTTATATTCACACATGCAAATACCCTTGGTAAAGATATGAATCCACTTCTCCTCCTCCCAGCTATGGGTTAATTAGTAAGACATGTATCAGTAAATCATTATTACCTCCCAAAAATTTTTTAAAATCTAAAAATATTGTCTAGCTTTAAATAACCTGAAAAGGGTTGATAAGCCATAAAAAAAAACAAATCAATCAAACTAAATTATTTTAATTATAAATTGTACTGAATGTATACTATTTACTGTTTTAGTTGCATATTATTATTAAATTGATTATTTATATTATTATTAAATTCTTTTTCTTTTTTTTTTTTTAAGTGTTTGTTAATTTGCAGTGACTGTGTTTAACCAAATTATAAAACAATCAAAATTTATAGTGTGGACTGTATATACAAGCATAATCCAGTTCAGAGCCCCAGGGAGCCTTCTGGCTGGGGGGTGGTGCAGTACCTATCTTTTGGGAGGGGGCCAGGTTTATTGCCTGATGCCTGAGGCATCCCCACAAGGGGAAGTAAGTGCCAAAGGGGGCTTGAGCAATTTTTCCAATGGTATTGCAGTTAAACCCACTTTAAACCTTGACTTTGTTTCACATTCAGTAGTGACGTAAAAACACTGAAAAATACCCATATAAGGGGTAATCTACCAATTTAACTAAGAACATAAAAAGTATGAAAAAAGGAAAAATACACAAATTAAATGAAAAATACCTACACACAAATTGTCCAGATATATATATATATATATATATATATATATATATATATATATATATAAAGAACAACAAAGAAAACAAATTGAAGCAAGAAAATTCTGGCATTCTTGTATCATTTCCACTGAGTGCATTGACAACTGTTTTGGATTGTCTTATACATTTTGCAGCAGAAATACCTCCCACATAATAGTAAGACATTAGTGGCAATGGTGTCTTCATTGAGTTAATGTCTTACCATTATGCCACACCCTGAACTATCACTGGTACTTTTGTTTTCTTTTTTTTTTCTTTTTTTACCTTAATCCATACCCAAAGGAAAATTTTTCATCTTTTCAGTAAAATTGCTATGTGTTTTACTAACATCTGTCTATATTTCTGAGATGAGGTATTGTAACTATTTACATTGTTCGAACTGTTGTCCTCATCTTTATTTTCATATTCACAACGTTTCAGCCATTGTACACTCCTGCCTTCTTCAGTTGATATACATTGAAATCTTGAACTGAACCATTTATTTAGTCCACTGGGGTAGATTGTTCTCATTCCACATGCCATGCCTTTTCTGGCTATCTCAGTTTCAGTTATCTCCCTTTAGTAACTCAACTCTCCAAGTTTTTGTTCACCACTGCCTTGGCCAGGTATTGAACTCACAACTCTTTGGGTCAAGTCACTGGATTACTTCAACCAATGCTTTTATCCACTGAGTCACCGAGATATCCAGAAAAGACATGGCATGTGGAATGAGAACAATCTAACCCCAGTGGACTAAATAAAAGGTTTGGGTCGAAATTCTAATGTATATTATTTGAAGAAGATCGATGTATACAAT